CTTAAAGTTAATACATGAGTAGCTGAAAGTGTAAGCCTGTTACTTGGAGTTATGGAGTTAGCCACGGAGGGCTGGGGGGAAAGAAATGTTCAGAAGTACCTGTCTCTGAGGAGTGAGATTGGGAGAAAAGAGTGGGAAGGCAAAATTTTTTTTTCATTTTATATCCTTGTCTTTGAATTCTTATTTCCGGTGATTATATTATTTTTATGATTAAAAATTAATTGATATCTTTTGAAGTTCTTAAGAGTTTAAGATGAGTTAAATTATATGTAACCAATTTTTAGAATATATTTCTTGAAATCTATAAATCATCTTCAAACAAGAAATAAAAAGTGCTTTTTACTATCTCACTTCTCTACAGTATAAATGTATTATCTATAATATCAGGAGGGACCAGTCCCTGGAGAAGGACATCATGGTTGGTAAAGTAGGGGGTCAGCAAAAAAGAGGAAGACCGTCAAGGAGATGGACTGACACAGTGGCTGCAACAATGTTTGATGTTTGATGGGCTCAAACATAGTAACAATTGTGAGGATGGCACAGGACCAGGCAGTGTTTTGCTGTTTTGCATAGGGTCACTATGAGTCGGAACCAACTCAACAGCACCTAACAACAACAGCAACGTTTATAATACAGTACAGATAAGAATTGAATGTTGTTTTAATTTTGCGCTTGATAAAAATCAAGTCTTCAGGAGCTTAAGGAGTCAAGGTGAAGGCCAGCTCATGGGGATCAAAAGCTGGAGTAGAACTAGCTGTTGATGGTTACAGGAGATTGAGTTTTGTTCTGCCTTTCATGTTGTTGCCTCAACCTACTTATCTAGCAGCCCTAATCTAATTTGGCCAATAACTGGAGAAATGAAAACTTTAAAAAATCAGCTACAAACATCTTTAGTTATTCAATTTCAATCATGTTTCTCAATTTGACTTGGTTCCGAGGTGTCATAATGAAATTTGCTCTGTATGATTTCAGTACACCTTTGCTAATTTACGCATTGTTTAAAGTTATGGCCACAGCATCACGCTGACTGCAGTGTATGATTTCAGAAATTATGGGAAAACAAACAAAAGATTATTTTAGAAAACAAGACTTCAACTTTTGATGTCCACTGGAGTTGAGATTCAAGTCACTTTGGAAGAATATTTGACATCTTTTTAAATATTGTTTAAAATGATTTGTCCCAAGGCTAAAGAATAAATCATTACAATTTAAAGATTGCAGAAGGACGTCAGAAAACTTGTTCTTCTCTAGTGCCAAGGAGTGGGTGAGTTAGTTTCTTTAGTCACGGAGAAAGATCATTGGAACAGATTTTATAGCATCACCATTTCTCATTTGCTGTATTTATATTACATTCTTTGGGGTCATATGTTTAAAAGGATTTCAAAATGTCCTTTTTTACTATTTTTTCAAAGGCCAATTCTTGGTTAAAACTCTACCCAAGCTTCTAAGCTTTATATATCCATGGTATGGATATATAAAGTACATACTCCATTCCACTGATCTTGAAAAGCACCTATCATGTGCAAGTCAGTCCATAAGCCACTGCAGAGGAGGGGTGGAATCCAAAGATGCATCAGATATGGACCTATCTTTAGCAGATTTTTAAATCTCCTATTGATGATTAGTTATATGTTGGTTCTTCAACAAATATTTTATCAGAGTAACAAATGCTGAAACTGAATGAATTTATATAACGTTCAGTGTTGGTGTTGGAAAATTCTGAAGCCAGGATGACCCCATGGTCAGTGAGTCTCTGAAAAGTAGAGAATAGGCTACACTTAGTTGAGAAAACAAGGGCTGAGGCATCAGAGTACAGAGTGAAAAGAAAAGTGAGTAGAGACCTGTAATTGCGAGCTAATGAAGCCACCTAGTGGTGTGTTACATAATTTAAGGTTGTCTGAATATCTAAAGCAACTCGGATTGATAGTGTGTGTCTCTAATCAAGAATGACTAAGAGTCTGACCACTTTCCATTTAATACAACAAGCAGAGTCAGTTTCATTGAGGATGAGCACAGTGCTACTATGTCTAATATTGTATTTATAACCTTCTTTTTACCAAAAGGATTTAAGGAAACTTACATGAAAATATAAGGTTGCTATATTTTTTTACATGAAAATACAGTGAGGTAATACAAACTAGAAGATGAGAAAGAGAAGAAAATACAAATAAAGACATAAAAAGTAGCCCCAAATAGTAGTAGTTCAAAGATGCTTACTAAATCCTATATATCTTCCATGAAAAGGCTCTAAATTTTCAGATCAGAGAGGAAATTGATCAGTTATAAAATTCACAATACCTGGAAACACAATTTTCAGGAAAAGTAAAACCATACTTGATCCTAAGAGCAGAGAAAATTTTCTTCAAGGGGTCTTCACAAATAGGATACTGTAAGATGTAGTATGTGTTTAATCCTTATGGTAGAAATAGTTCTGAATCTTGGAGAATTGTTTCTTAGTTTTGTCTCCTCTGATCTGGGGGCGGATGTATGCCACCCCAAGCTCCCTTCTAAGGGCTTGTATTGGTTTATTTAATCCTTACAATAAGCCTATGAAATTGTTGTTGCTGTGTGACATCAAGTTGATTCAGACTTATAGCAACCCTATAGGATAGAGGAGAACTGACCCATAGGGTTTCCTTGGCTGTAGTCTTTACTGGAGCAGACTGCCACATCTTTCTCCTGCGGAGCGGCTGATGGGTTTGAACCACCAACCTTTTGGATAGCAGCGCCTATGAAGTAGGTAATACAATTATCCTTGTATTGCAGTTGAGGCAACTGAGACACAGTGAAGTTAAGAACTTAACCAAAGTCACACTGCTAATAAATAATGTAGCTGGGATTCAAACCCGGACAGTCCGGCTCTAGCGTCTACGAGTAGAGCGTCTTTTCCAAGGTGGTATACTGGATGGTCAGTTAAGTAATACAATTAATACTTGAAGTCCGCCTCCCCCCACATAGTCTGTGGGAGAAATTAGATAGGTGTGTTTTCACATGATGCTACAGAAGAGGTCAGAGTTGCATATTTAGAGATGACTTAGTGAACTTTGTTCTCTTCCAGGGTCACAGGGTTTATCCCCCACCCCAGTCACCACACACTTGTGTGAACGCACACATACGCGCACACGTGCACGCATGCACGCACGCGAGCACAGCTTTGTTCAAAAAATGAGGACCAGGAAAGAGTTTTCAAATTCATCACTCCCTGACTTCTAGAAAATAGCCAAATCCCATGCCCTTTTTATCGCATATCTTCAGATACAAGATCTAAAATGCAGTCATAACGAAACACACTTTTCTTTTTCAAAGTGATATCTGTAAACATTTTTGAATGGAAGCTAAATTGATTTCTCTTAACCAGTCATGAAAGTTGATTAGCAGTGAGCAAGGCACACCTTGAAAGAAGCTTAATGGGGAAGTAATGGCATCACTGAAACATTTTCAGTTAGAGGAGTCAAAATAACTTGAGTCTTAAATTGTGCATTTAGAATGTTGTTTTCAACTGTGCCTTAAGACAGTTGCATGGTTAATGTCTTGGCTAAGAAAGAGGAAGAGGTATGCCCTATAAAATGACTGTTCTATCTTGATAAGTCTCCTTAAAAACAAATTTCCATGACATTTTAAAGGAATGCTTAGCTCGATGAAGATTCTGATGCTCCTCGAAGATTCAGGTGTCTGTATGGGAACCAACAAGATTGCTAAAGAAGTTTTAAGAATAATGATAACCTTCTAATAATTCTGCTGAATGCTTGAAAGATCCATCCTATAAAGGAGATACAAATGAAAAAGAGAGATGCTGAGATATGGTGAAGGAAACATTGGCTGGGACTCAAGAAACTTTGGGATTCCCAAGCCTGTTTTATTCTGTTAACAAAAGGTGTCTTAAATTCTTTGTGTTAGTTTGCTCATGAACTTTGGAGTCAGACCTGGGTTTAAATACCGATTCCGACACATATTAGTCTATTACTCAGTTAACCTCTTTGGGCCTCAATTTCTTCATCTATAAAATGACCATAATAATCCATGGCTTTTATTGAGTGCCCACTGTGTGCAGGTATTGTGCTTTTCCATGCCTTCAATCTTTACAGAAATCTTATAAGAAATATTTACCATTGTTAGCCCCAGGTGAAAACACTGAAGTAGAGAGAATAGGCAGTGTAAAGAGTTTAATAAGATAATTGACGTAAAGTATCGTATCACCTGGTACATAGCAGATTCTCCAGAAACAGTAGCTGCTAGTATTCCTATTGACTCCATCCAGGGCTTCAGATGAATTCATTTCACTTTGAACTTCTGTTGAGAATTTGCATTTCCACTCCAGATATGCTGAATCAGAATCCACATTGCAACAGGATCCCCAGGTGATTCTTATGTATAATGAAATTTGAGAATCACTGTTCGATTAGTGGTTCTCAGAATTGGTCCTTAACCAGCAGCATTAGCATCGCCTGGGAACTTGTTAGAAATGCAAATTCTCTCTGTACTGAAATCACTCCTCAGGTTCACCCTTCAGCCAAAGATTAGACAGGCCCATAAAACAAACAATAATAAACATAGCTCACCTACATATATGTGACTAAATGGGCACACCAGCCCAGGGGCAAAGACGAGAAGGCAAAAAGGGACAGGAAAGCTGGACGAATGGAGAACCCACGAATGAGAAGGGCAGAGTGTTGACCCGTTGTGGGATTGGCAACCAGTGTCACAAAACAATATGTGTATTAATTGTTTAATGAGAAAGTAACTTGTTCTATAAACCTTCATCTAAAGCACAATAAAAAAAAGAATAAACTATAAAGTAGAAAACAGAAAAGCAAATTCTCAGCAGGGATTTGAACCTGAACGAAGCCCTGACTCCATCTCATCCCTCTCCTTTTCTTCTTCTAGGCATGCTTTGAAGATTAATGAAGGGAACTGCATGTTTAGAAAACTTGAAGTTCAGGAATGAGTTAGAGGTTTAGACCAAAGAGTACAAATAAAACCTTATTTTTATTTTCCTGCAGGAATGGCAAAAACTCAACCATGATATCTATGCCCTGCGGCAGATTCGAAGGGAAGTGAGAAACAGATGGAAATGCATTTTAGAAGATTTAGGTGAGTCTGAAAGTGATTGTGAAATGGTAACAATACTTAGTTGTGATCATTAGTCTTACTTTCTCCACCATGATTACTTGTGATCATTACTCTTCACTTTGTCCACCATGATTTTTATCAAAGGCATGTCAGTAACTGACAGATTTTGAGGTTACTGTGTACTCAGTATTTTCCCGATCATGCTTTCCTTCTCTCCTCGAGCATAAACATCTGTTATCTCTGTTATCGCCAGACCTTGTCTTGAGGACGCACTGCTATGTGTTACTCCATCTGTCCCTTGTATAGGGTAGCACAGGGCAGTGGAGTCATTTGGCACTACCATGGAATTGTTTGGCATGGTACGTGGATTCAATTAGATGGAGGGGATCGGCCAATTAGTAATACCTTAATAAGATGAGGCAGGTTGGGAAGAATTTTGTTTGTAAGAGAGGCAGGAAAACTCAGTGTAATTATTTCAGAAGTACCAAAAGAAGAAAAGCTTCAAAGTTGCAAGAATTACTGTGACATTAGGTAGGTATTGGGTATCGGTTTTTTGTAATTCTGTCAGGGTTGTGTTGCAATAAACATGCCCCACTTCATAACATAAGCTTGTTTTAATATTTAAAAGATGAATTTTATCAATTTTGAAGTCCTTAATCCTTCTGCTTTGTAAAAGAGCATGGCACCTTAGTATAACTTTTCAAAAGTGGGTGCCAAGTTGCTAGCCCCTAATTGCTTTAGTTGGTATGGAGTGGGATGGGATGGGACCTTTACCCTCTTTGCCCATTCAGTAGTCATGTGAGTTAATAGTCTCTTTTTTACAATGTATGTTACTACAGGCAGGTTTAAGCTTATGAGTCTTTTATACCATTGGGTGAATAATTTTAACCAGCCAACCATATTGCCCCAGGGAAGGGAATCTGGGCTTGGAGTAGTAGGGCCTGGAGGCATCCACTTTGGAGATTGACAGTCAGGTAGGGATCCTAGGGGCAGGAAAGGAGGTAAAGAGTGGGAGTGGAAGGAGGGCTTCAAACAAAAAAAAAGGGTGTAGTAAGCAGTCAGTGGGTGAGTATCTGAGGCTAAACTATGTTAAAAAATAAAATTCATTAAGAAGAAAGACTGAAAAAATTTCGATGAAAGGCCCTGCTAAGATTGCACTGAGCTGGGAAGCAGCTCAGGGAGTGGTACCTTTGGCTTCAGATTTCTCATGTGGCACAGAATTCACATTTGGGCCCCTCCTGATCTCCTTGGTACATGTTGCAGGGCCATTGTTTCCTCGTGACTGCCTTACTTTACACAAGGGTTTTTTTTTTTTTTTTTTTACTTTAGGTTTTCAAAAGGAAGCAGACTCTTTGTTGTCAGTTACTAAACTCAGCACCCTCAGTGACTCTAAAAACACAAGGAAAGCCCGAGAAATGTTGTTAAAACTGGCTGAAGAGACCAATATTTTTCCAACAAGTTGGGAGCTCTCAGAGAGATACCTCTTTGTTGTGGTAAGTGAATACCTTTTTTCATCTGTTCTAATTTTGTTTGACATTTTTGCCTTTTCTACTTAGCATGTGGAATAACAGTGGATTTTATTTCATATACACATCACTCCAGCACCCCCAACACCCCAGTATGAGGTGGCAGACAATGTTGGCATCCAATGCATTGGTGTCCAGTGGCATCAGAATCACCTAGAGGACTTTAAAAATTCATGTTTCTGGATCATATCCAGCCCTATTGAGGCTTGCATTGTTCTGAAGAATCTATATTTTTCAGCTGATTCTGCTGTGTAGGCAGCTTTTTGAACCATAAGTCAAAGAGATATGAGAAATATTGTTTATATAACCTAGATTGAAAAAGATTTAGAAGCAATTCTGAAAGTGGTGAGATTTTTTTAGATAATGTAAATAAAGGATTAAAGTGTGTCTCTAAGTTTGCAGAGAAAAATTTAATAAACGTTTTATTAGCTCATTGTTATTTCTCAGGTGGGTTTTGTTGTTGTTAGATTGGTTTTCTCATCACATGGCAAATCTTAGCTTAGTTGCCATCTTGGAGATGTATATATGTAATTTTCTTTCTTTTTTTGGGGGGTTGGGGGGTAGGACCGTCTCATTGCTCTGGATGCTGCAGAAGAATTCTTTAAAATTGCCAGTCGAACTTATCCCAAGAAGCATGGAGTCCCGTGCATGGCAGATGGCCAGAAAGAACCGCACTACTTTCCATTTCCAAGTCCGTGAAGGAAAGACTCAGAGGCAGAATTGGAATTCTTCCACTGGGACTCAGTAGCCAACCACAGTTGGACAATTGCATGTGGAAGAGTGTGAGCAAGTAGAAGACTTGCTAAGTAAAAAATGAAGGACTGTGAATCCTGCAAAAATCTAAGGATCTGGATATCTGGACTTCATAAGGACCTTACTCTATGAAATGTTCAGCTTGCATTGAAATACCTTGATGATCTTGCACTTACAAAGAGATCAATGGGTATTTCATCATGGATGCTTAGATTCCAAGAAGAACCTACTGCCCCAGTTTGGGTTTTGGTTGTACAATAACCTCCTATCATTAATCCTATTGGGATAATGGAATGTTCTAGTTAATGAAACAATATAATTAATAGAGCCCTCATAGAGCCCAAACGTGGATTACCAATTTCTAAATAATTATCATGCAGTATAGGTCAACACCAAAATAATGCTAAGCATAATGTACCTTTCTTTGATTTGGAAGAACTACAGAACCTTGGAGGATGTCATGGGTATCATGTTGAGTATCAGTTATGATTATTCAGAAGTATAGGTATACCAGATAATAGAGATGTCTAGGAGTGCTGCTCAGAAGTGAGCTCCAAGTGGAATGACTCCAAACAGAACTTTCTGCAGCCACGTGTAAAAGTTCTCTCTTCACTTGTGGCACATGCATCTTAAATTCTCACATTATTGATAAACCAGGTTACCTCATTTTTGCATATTGTCCATTACTAGTCCAAAAGCCCTTAACATTTTATCTGGGATATCATCTGTAAGTTGAAACACCTGGCCACCACTTCCTTTTCTTCCGTTAATTATTACTGTTTCTAGCTTATTGGCTGAAAGTTGCACCAGCTCAGGGGTCTTTCCTACAGGCTTGCAGCTATGTAGGCAGTGCTGCATTGAAGAAGGTGACTGCTGGACTCAGTTCGGTTATGAAGAGGCTGTCCAAAATGGAGCAATCTTGCAAATGCAGCTTGTTTCTATACACAGCCTGAGAAGTCCAGTTTCAAAAGTTACTTGCATCTTAAGCAAGACGGTTGTCATGATATCATGGTTCCTTTTATTGAAAAGACTTTAAGGACTTGTAGGATTTATCATTAGATCACTGTGAACAATAGCTATATTATTACTTTTACAGATTTTGCATTGCAGACTTCAGGTTTAAAAAGTAACTTGTATTTAGTCTGTTCAGGAGATTGTGACTTGAAAATTTCCGAATCCTGACTAGCCCTTTTGGTAGTATTTAAAAAAAAAAAAAAAAAATGTTTCATATATTTGTTAGGGGAAATACACGTTATCCATTTATTTAGGCTCTGTAGACCAATTGAACTGACATGTTTCAAGAAAATTCTTCCTAGTTTAATAAGTAGGTTAAAGTTTTATTTTTTGTATTTAGTGCTTAATCCCTCTCTCATGTTGTTTCAAATTAGTCTGCAGATGTTTTCCTCACTTCTGTAGACTTTTACAAGATAAATACACAAACAGTGAAACCAACAAAAAACATACAATAAAACAAAAAATCTTCGAAAATTTTATTGTTTTAATCTTTGTGCTAAGGATTTGCGTTTTGCCTTTCTGCCTTTTTCAATGTCAAAATAGATGAGATTGTTTGCAGCTATAGAGAATAAAGTGTTATCATAGTCTTTATTTTTGGTAATGAATGAACAAGGATAAGATTGCCTTTACAATTATAAAAACAGAGAATTACCCAGGAAATTTTTCTGCTAAGAAATTAAAAGCTTTCTGTATTTACTTTTCAGTTGGATGTGTATGTGTTATATTTCTGAGAAATAAGAAAAAACAGATATCCTTTCCTTAATCCCTTTAAATTAAAGGGCAGAGAAGCTGAGATGCAGATGGATTTAAGGACCTTGCCTCATTCTAAAACCAGTCAAGGGCAGATCTGTGGTAAAGTCCAGTCCTCCCTGTGGACACTCCCGTGTATGAGGAAGACTTGAGGATGACTGAAGTGACTCCTTCAGAAGTCATATCCACAGATGTGTGAGAGGTTTGAGGGTTTTCCTACTTGATAAATGTCTCCCTATTGACTACTGTTGTTGACTTCTCCAAGGTTCATTGGTGTATGCAGGATGATTTCAGCTGATACATGCGTGAAAGTTTTCTGTTAAATTTAATGTACACCAGAAAACAAATCTGTAATTAGCAATCAAACACCTGCTTTTATACTTCATGGATATTATTGTACAAAATATTGAATAGACCATGGACTGCAAGAAGAACAAACAAATCTGTCTGGGAAGAAGTACAGCCAGAATGCTCCTTAGAAGTAAGAATATTGAGACTTCATCTCACTTACTTTGGACATGTTATCAGGAGGGACCAGTCCCTGGAGAAGGATATCATGCTTGGTAAAGTAGAGGGTCAGCAGAAAAGAGGAAGACCTTCAACGAGATGGATTGACACAGTGGCTGCAAGAATGGGCTCAAACACAGCAATGATTATGAGGATGACGCAGGACTGGGCAGTGTTTTGCTCTGTTGTTCATGGGTTGCTATGAGTTGGAACCGACCTGACAGCACCAAACAGCAACATGGCACAGAACAATAAAGTATTTATGCTTTTTTAAAGGGGACACCCAGGAAGGCACAGAGGACACATTTACCAAAGTGATAAGGAATGCATTGGTGAGGGTGCACTAGCATCACTGAGAAGCTCAACAGTTGCTCTGTAGCTCAGATGCTGATACAGAAGTGGGCTCACTGACAGCAATGGGGATGCTGGAGTGTCCCCTCAAAGTAAAGGTCAGATCATTGCATCTTGCCCCTCCCACCCCTAAGAAGGCAGCAGAATGTCTGGTAAGCTTGTTCGTGTTTTAGAGGCAGCATGTTCCTTACCTGGAAATATGCTCCATCCCACAGAACTATGACATGAAACACTCCAGCTCTGAGTGAGGCCCAGAGTAGAAAAGGGTTCCAAAACAGGTCCAAGGTATGGCCAAGTGGCCTGCCATTTGGGTCATAGGACCCTGCAGATCCTATGGTATTGAAAGTCTTGGTGGTGAAAAAAGATGCCACATTGAATTTATGGCTAACCCAATAGGAGAATGATAACCTAGACACCTAGGGTTCTGCAGCAAAGCCAAGCAGTTTCCGGCAGGGGAATTATATATCATTGAACAAATAGCTTTTGGCTTGCTACTGGACTCTAGAAGAGATGGAAGATTAAATGACCATGGCCAGAAGTGTCATCATGAGCAGGGTTTTCCAGACCAATAAAGTCAAAAGATCTGACAGGCCTGCAGAAATTCTTTCTTTCTTTTTTTTTAATTTTGATACATTTAAAAATTTTTGAATAGTTTATTATATAAAAAAAAATTGCAAAGATAGTACAGAGAGTTCCCATATACCCCACACCCAGTTTCCCCTATTCTTAACATCTTACATTAGTATCATGCATTTGTCACATCTAATGAATCAATAGAGTCTCTGGGTAGTGTAAATGGTTAATGCACTTGTCTGCTAATTGAAAGGTTGGAGGTTCAAGTCCACCCATAGGTGCCTCAGAAGAAAGGTCTGGTGATCTACTTCCAAAAAATCAGCCGTCGAAAACGTTATGGAGCACAGTTCCACTCTGACACACACGGGGTCACCGTGAGTTGGAATTGACTTACAGGCAATTAATTATGAACCAATATTGAACCAACATTATTATTAACTAAAGTCCATACTTCATTCATATTTCCTTAGTTTTTACCTAATGTTCTTTTTCTGCTCCAGGATCCCATCCAGGATACCACATTACATTTAGTTATCTTGATTTCTGAGGTTCTTCTTGGCTATGACAGTTTCTTAGACTTTCCTTAATTTTGATAACTTTGGCAGTTTTGAGGAATACTGGCCAGATATTTTGTGGAATGTTCCTCAATTGGGGTTTAACTGATGTTTTTCTCATGACTAGATTGGGGTTATGGATTTTGGGGAGGAAGACCACAGGTACAGTGTCACTCTCATCATATCAAGGGTACATGCTATCAAATATGATTTATTATTGATAATGTTAACCTTGATCACCTGACCAAAGTAGTGTTTGTCAGGTTTCTCCACTGTAAAGTTATTCTCCCCAACTCCTTTCCATACCTTGCTATTCGGAAGGAAGCCCCTATACCTAACCCACTCTTAAGGGGTGGGCAACTGTGCTCCACCTCTGTGGGGGTGGACTATTTACATAAATCATTTGGAATTTGGCAGCAATCCATTTTAAGATGGAAGTTGTTATCTGGGATCAAGCAACAGCAGGGCCAGAGGACGCAAGATGCACAAGATGCCCAAGTAGGAGGCACAGACCCCCGAGCTAGCCACTACTTTTATACTGATCTCTCTCAGCTCTTATCTTTGGCTGCCTGTGGGGGTGGGCTAGGGGATCCCTTATGACAGCTGAAGAGGAAAAAGGCTGGGCTTGGTTCATGAATGTGTCATCTTGGTCTGAGGCTACAAGCCAAAAATAGATGCAGCTGTCCCAAAGCCCACACCAGGATGGCCCTGATAGATAGCAGTGAGAGGAAATCTTCCCAGTGAAAAGAGCTTCAGGCGGTGCATCTGCTCATCCACTTACAGGCTCATGGGCAGTGGAGAACAGCTGGACTGTTTGGTTCTAAAGGATGAACATTAGAAGACAAAGTACAAGGTGGTTTGGGGAAGAGACGTGTGGAATGATCTCTGGGGAGGTGGGGGGTCATGGTTTGAATTATGTCCCCCCAAAAATGTGTGTATCAATTTTGCTAGGCCGTGATTCCTGGTACTGTGTGATTTTCCTGTATGTTGTAAACCTGCCTCTATGATGTTAATGAGGGAGGATGGGTGGCAGTTGTGTTAGTAAGGCAGGACCTGATCTACAAGACTGGATTGTGTCCTGAGGCAATCTCTTGAGATATAAAAGACAGAAGTGAGCAGTGAGACGGGGGACCTCATACCATCAAGAAAGCAGTGCCGGGAGCAGAGCGCGTCCTTTGGACTGGGGTCCCTGTGCCGAGAAGCTCCTAGTCGGTGGGAACACTGATAAGGCTGAGAGAGAGAAAGCCTTCCCCTGGAGCTGATGCCCTGAATTTGGACTTTTAGCCTACTTTGACTATGAGGAAATAAACTTCTATTCATTAAAACCATCCACTTGTGGTATTTCTGTTGTAGCAGTGCTAGATGACTAAGACAGAATTTGGTACCGGGAGTTGGGTGCTGCTCTAACAGATACCTAAAATGTGGAAGCGGTTTTGAAACTATGAATGGATAGAGGAGCAGCAGCGGCAAAGGACCAGCAGCAGCAGAGAACCTACAGCATCAGAGAAGCAGCAGCAGCAGAGAACCAACAGCAGCAGAACCAGGAGACTGGTGAAAGATGGTGCTGGAGCTTACCCATGGAGCGAGAGAGCTGAATGCCTGTGAGCAGGAGGCTTCCTGGCGGAGTGGGGTGCCTCTGGGCACTTATCGGTGGAGCCAGGCTTGCTGACCCACGGAGCGAGGGAGCTGGGTGCTTGTGAACAGGAGGCTTCCTGGCTGAGTGGGGTGCCTCCAGGCACTTACCGGTGGAGCTACTGAGCTTTGGAACACTTACCCCAGCAGGGCAGATGTGGGCGTGAGGCCCGAGGGCCAAGAGGCCATAGGAAGCAGAAGCTGACGAGACAAGGGATACAAGAAGCCAAGCTGTTTCAGCCTCAAAAGGTGTGGCCGTGACCTCAGGGGTTTCAAAGGGTGGAGCCATGGCCTCTGGTGTTTCTAAGGGTGGAGTTGTTACTCCGATGGACTAGGATGGTGCGCCTAAAGCCAAGGGAGCAGAGTTGCTGTCCCAGTGGGCCTGGAAGGCAGAGCTGAACCCCAGGGCCGGGGGGCCTCC